ACGTTTTGAGGTGTGGTTTTCTTTGACTTTGCACAACGAAACCGGACTTTTTTGGATAGGATCGTCACGTGTGATGAAAAGTGTAATACTCTACGACAACAGGAGATATACAGGAGGCAAAAATCCATAAAAGAAACATTGTTACTGTATGGTGGTCAGAAGCTAGTGTGATTCACTATAACTTTCTGCAACCGAGCCATACCATAACAGCAGAATTGTATTGTGTGGAAATCGACGAAACATACCAAATATTGCATCAGCAGCGGCCGGCACTGGTTACCAAAAGAGTTCCGATCCTGCTCCACGACAACGCCCGTTTCACAAATCACCATTCGAAAATCAAACGAATCATGCCTCGAAGTTCTGCTTCACCCACCATATTTTCCAGATCTCTCTCCAACCAACCACCATCTTTTCAACACTTCGATAACTTTCTCACCGGTAGAAAGAACACCAATCAGGACGAGGCGAAAACGGCCTTCGTCGACTTTATCGAAGACCGAGCACCCAATATTTATGCTGAACGAATTAATCGGCCTGTGTTACGATAGCAAAAGTACAGCGATCTGAGGATCGCTTATTTCGTTTGATAAATATTTACTAAGATATCACTATTCTAAGTAGACTCATGAAAATGGACAAAGCCTTCGAAACAACATAATACTACCTAATAGATATACTAGCTTGTATGCATTCCACCCAAAGAGGAGTATTTCATATCATAAATAATATTGGAATCTGAATGTGAATTTTCTCTCCTAAAGTATATCTTAGTACGGTCACGATTCATCCCTTTTATATATTCCATTTAAAATTATACTCCCAATATTGAACTCTCGGAACGAACTTTTTCGAATATTACCTCGATATTGCTAGACTGTCTTGATACAATAAAATGTTTAATATTAATATAACCTTTACATTACTTTATTGAAATGCCGTGAGGGATGAAAATGAAATATTTTCACGTGTCACTTAGTTCAACCTCACAAGATTAAAAATACCTTCAGAGCATCCCTCGTTTATTAAATACTTTCGTTGTTGCCGTTTATGAAACAATATTTCTTCAGTTCATTTGAGATATTTCCGTTCAGTCAGTGTTTATTCTATGTTGAGCAAACGAAAGTTTGTCATTAAGTATATGAAAATATGAATTAGTATCAATCATTTCACCAGAGATGCAATATGAACTAATTATTAATGTCTAGTCTAAATAACCTTCAATTTTGAATGTAAAATATATTTCAGAATATTGAACCAGATTTATCTCTGAGGTGACTAGATATTTGAGTACTATTCTTTCAAAGCTTGTCTACCATTTGAATTTTTTTCTTCGGAAAATTTCTAAAAAAGTTTCCGAAAACTGATACAATTCGTCTAAAAATGAGAGTCATTTCGTGTGGGAGTCTATGTGAATTATTAAGCGAATATCGCTGGAAGTTACAGTACAAAAACTCTTCTGACTCATTTCGAAATTTATAATATTCAGATAGATGAATTAAATCTCTGAAGATATAGACGTAACGTCTATATCTAGATATATTCTATATCTATATCCACGATATAGATATAAAAAAATGGCTTCAACACAATTATCTTCGGCTGTGAAAGTAAACATGATCATACTTGAATTTGTTGCTGAAAAAAACACAGCAACCAGAAAGACGAGGAACCCCTACGAACAACAACCCTCAGAAGTCGAAACTTGTGCGAGCTAAGAACTAACTAGGTCTTACATTTTAACGTGTGATTTCTAACACGGGTTGGACAATAACAAATGAAAACCGAGCGTTCAGCCTGCGGCTTGAACCATCGACTCATACATCGGCCGACTGACTGAGTGAACAAAGCACCCACGTCGAACCGCCCGGCTACCGACTGAATAGAATAGATGAGAATGTTCCAACATTTTGAAAAGCACAAAAACGAAGTTTTTGTAAAAAATGCAACTCCAACGAATTTTTCGGCAAGAAATTACTCAGGAAGTGCAATGCGAAACATGAGTTTCGAGATGAGACTAGAGATTGAAGTGAGATTTGAAAATTTAGCCGTAAAGAAAAAAAAATGGTGGTGAAAGATATTAAAAAGAGTGACTAGAGTAAAAAACACCGGTGTTAACAAGGACAATGAGACCAGTTGAATAAAAATGTACAGTTCCTGACTTTTGAAGGACAGTCATTGGGGACCGTCCATCGTCAACAAAATCAACGACTCTACGCAATGGCCTTGTATAATGCGAGTGGAAAAGCCCTGCGTCAATTGATCTTAGCAATCTATCTTCCGACTCGTGAAAAAGAGCTTGTTGATAATGAAAGAGACATAATTGTCAACTACTCGTAAAGAACTCAAAATTAATTTCAGAATATTGCCTATCTACTTGTCCTAAATTTATTTTTACAATGTGTCCTTATGTAGGTAATAGTCAGTAAATCTAATAATATTATTTTAACAAGCTATATACTATGCTACTTCGTATTGGTCCATCATCGTTATTTATAATATTATTATGTTTACCTACTCATTTTTACACTGTCATAGGCATCTAGTTGCCTTTTTTTGTTAACTTGTCTAACTAACCTCACTGAACTGAAGTCTATGGAATGGTTTTATTGCAAAATATTATGGGCGACTGCTGATTTCTTATGTCCTTATGTTTTACTCTAATAGATCTTTTTGTCCATAATATTTTGCATCGCAGTCCTTACATTCAATTTCGTAAATTCACGACTTTTTCGAATTCTCGACTTTGTCTTTTGGACTTCCCAAAAGGCTCTGTAGTGTATGACTCTTTTTAAAAACCACCTTCATACCTAGTTCCAAAGTTCTTAGTGTATGGGTGGTATGGAACTGAGATATATTTATCTTGGTTTTTGTCCTTTCTGAAAGTCGCAATTTCGTTCATTCTTAACCTAAACTTGATCTTCCTCATTATGCCAACTGAGTTGGCATTATCGGAATATGATTAAACGTTCTGATGATTTGATGAGTGAAATTTGAAACCCCTGGCGTGAAGTGAATCCATTGAAAACATTGTTTCCTGACCAGAACCAGATTGATGTTTCTCGATGCGCGATTCACTAACCAATATTGTTCTGGCGAGGGAAAAGTGTTATCAATAAATTGATTAGCAAAATGCGAAACAAAGATACTGTATTTCGGTTTTGATATGAAAAAAGTGATTTGAATAAACCAAAATGGTTAATGGAAAAAGGCGAAATATATGAAAATCAAGAGTTGTGCGACATCTATTTGATTCAATAGTTTTTTTATTAAAAAATACTTTTTCAATCACTTCCATATGAAAAGTACAATCATTCTTAGTGGATCATAAATTGTTCAATTCAAAATAGTGAAAAACATTTACAGAGCAACTGTCCCCAGCTCTTCGGACAGAATTTTTATGGAAATAATTTATAGTGAAAATGGTGTGACGTCACTCGCCGCAGGAAGGGGGCCATCAACTTTTATTTCCTGATAGGAAGGGAATCTTGTGACCCTTCGCTCGAAAGGAAAATCAATTCTCTGTACAACGACCTTCACTGTTTTGAATTTGGATAACTTGCGGAGTTATTGGTGTATGGAATGAAGACTAGAGTAACTGAAAATCAACTTCGTAACCAAAAGAAGATTGGAATAGCTCCAAAGATAGCGATCACAGGTTACACGAAGTTTGTGATGTGTGAAAGAAAAAACCTGTTCACAAAAATGAGCCATATTTAGAAAAAAATTGAAGGAAAGTATTTGAATGCATTCGTTTTTTCAATGCTATTGGGAATGTCGTTTTTTGAGTTAATAACAAATTGGTAGGGCGATCCGTTGGAATGGTCTGCTCATACACCAGATTTCACTCCTTTCAATTTTTCCCTTTGGGGCCATATCGGATCGGAAATTTATGTTACGCAAACTGTAATAATGAGAGACAGAATTACCGTAACTTGTTCTAGCATTATCCCAGAAACATTCCAAAATGTTAGAATACTCATCTATTGCGAAAGATGTTACTGTTTTATTTCTCTTTCCAAAGAACGTTCATTCGAAAAAATTCGACATAGGCTGGATGAGTTACGAAATTTCTAATTAAACAGAACTGGCCGATACTTGATGAAAATCCATATAAAAAAACTATTAATTCAGTTTATTGTATGATTTTCACTATATCTATCATACAATAAACTGTATTAATAGTTTTTTTTGAAATTTCTAATCCCAAAACCAAACATCAATAACTCGGCAACCGGTTATCGAAATTCAAAAACTGTTCAAACTGAAAGACTTTGGAACAGTAATTTCAAGATATACATCATTGTATCTTGAAGCAACTGAAAGTAATTGAATATGTTATTTTTATAAATTCGTTGTAGAAGATTGCATATCCTTCCACCAGGTGTTAAAGTACCTACGACAAGTCACAAATCACATCGTAGTAGAGCTGTACTCGAATGAATGATATAGAATAATTTAAAATGAATTTCGAAATTCGGTTGGCATAATGAAGTTGTCTTGGGTATTCACGCTCCAGGAAGATTCTGAAGAAACAGACAAATCCGTATTTTATAAATTTGCACATGATACATTAGCAGTCTCGCAAAGGAATTATAGCCAATGTCATATCCTTCCATGCCAATTTGAGTGGTAGTAATTCTCTTCTTTTTCATTTTTTCAAAGAGACGAACTTTAAGGAATCGTAAACAAACTTTCCAAACTTTCTTTCTTCGAATATATTCGAAAGTGTTCAAAATGTATTTATTCTCGAATGGCGTCATCCTGGGTATTCGGTTGCGAAATTTCCTCTGCATTTATTCATATCTAAAATTCCTGCAGAGGTAGGTACTTATATTGGTCATAGTATATAATGCATCAGTAAAAATAGCCACGATGAAAAGTAGTTGAAGTGTAAAGAATTAAGAAAAATAAACGCTGCACCACAGAGTAAATATTCCAGATTGATGTTCTATCATCTTGACAGTTCTGCTATACTTCACCTAAACTTTCATGTTCAGTGGAGTTCTGTCATTTTCAGTTAGTTTTTGTCGATTTTTTGATATTGTTGTTAGTGAGTTTGTGATTGTGTTTGTGTGTTTTCAGGCCTATTAAGATGAGGATGATTCTGATGGTTTGCTTTATAGTGAATGCAGTGACAGGACAATTCAAGACAGGTATAATATAAAATGTCGTGAAAAAATTTTAGAACACTGTCGATAAGTGAATGATTTTTCACCTTTCTGCTTCTCATTTCCAACAATGACGAATCACTGCAGCTACTACATGTTATTCAAAAATATTCAATGCCTTTTCGAGATACACCCATTTTGATAGAACATCAATTATTAGCAAAATATATTTAAAATTCTGGCGATTCTAGAAATGTAAGTATCAACCGATAACATGGTTTTAAAGCCATCTTCGACCTAGAGATATATTTTCTTCAGTGATTATCAAAATTTAATGATTATTTCAGTCAAATTTCCAAGAAAGACTGGTATGAATTCTTAAGTGGCCTATTGACCTTTATATTATTAGACTTCAAGTGACACAAACTGTTTCCATAAAATAAATCATAGGAGTGTTTCCCAAGATTTTCTTAAAAGGTAAACCTCAATTCTACAGATATTCACTCCAATGTGTTTTGTATAACAATGATTATTTATAATATCAATGTAGAAATTCCAAAAAGTGCCCAAGTCGGTTACGGTTGTTGATATCACATATAGATAAAAAATCTGTCTGTTTAAAATCTGTTTTTCCGTTAACCAGCTGTCGCACCCCTACGAACGACAACCCTCAGAAGTCGAAATATATATACATATGCATACATATACACACATACATACATAAACACATACATATAAATGAGGTATCATTGTTGTATAACTCATACTGACAATGTAAATACAACTGATATACAAATAGTTCGAAGAAAGGAAAACTGGTGGAATGTGGAAATGATAAATTTGCAAAAACGAAATTACTTTGAACTTTTTTTACATAGGAATCGATATATTTTCAACGACTAGAGTTGAAAAGATTAACATATACTTCAACCTAACTGGTACTTGGCAAATGAATTCTATCCGTACAAGTTCTGCAAGAGATGTTCTGGATGATGTTGGTAAGCAATTTTTGTGGGTACTAAGATATTTTGCTTATTGAGTGAATGTATGGCATGTTCCAATTTTAAAAATAAGGCATAAACAGTTCATTTATACGCAAGTTGTCTGAAAGTGACTACTTGTTCATTTACATTCGAAGGTGGAATTTGTTATGTGGTTTGAACATAAATATTCATTGAATTTTAATTTTCCTCAGTAGATTTGACTTGAAAATTGAGATTTGTGAACGGAAATAGTTTTCAATTCAAAATATTTGTAATGTTTTTATCATTGTGGAATCCCCATGATAACATGTCTATGGAGTGGAGTATTGAACAATCCTTGAAGATTAATATTGAAAGTAGATAGGTGCTCAGTAGATTTTCGAAGACGTCAATAAATACAACAAACAGCCAATCGTCGCAGGCCCTCACAAATAGCTCCGATTTTTCGGAAATTTTTATTTTCAGATTCTTCAAATGAAAAAGTTTGTCCTCTCTAAAAAAATTCATTTTACTAACGCATTATTTTAACGAATACTTTTATATCGTCTTGTATTTTGTTACAAGTTTGGACTTCCATTGTATCAAAGAAGTACCAACAGATTTGCAATCTTTGGAGTAACAAATGAGATTGAAATAAATGAAAAATCTGCATGACTTGGTCTAAGCAGAAAAAATTAGCAAAAATGAATAAGGATAATAATTCGTAAAATGTACGAACGCTCATTTGTAAAGCAAACAAACTATTGTAACCCGAAATGTAAACTGTAAATGAGAAAAATTCAGAGAAATAAAACAAGAAAAAAATCCAAACTATATAGTTTACTCCACTGCGTTTCAGGTTTCAGTATCTATACTCGTCTTGATTCATGACAACAGTTAACACCCGAAGTCGATTGTGGATACTGACAATGGAAACGTCGTAAAGTAACTTAGTTTGGATTTTTTATTTTTGTATCAGTTTTTAATTTTTTTTAATTTCTTTATATTTTGTATTGATTATTTCCATAAATTTTCAAGCAAATTTTATATATCATTATTTTTATTTATGTTATATGTTGTTTATTGACATCTATGCAAACCCAAATATTTCGATTGATAAGCTGATAAGGGAAATCACTATGTCAACTTAGCCCTTCACACTTGTACACCCAGTATCCGTCAATAGAAACATGGAACCAATACCACTCATGTTTCAAACACTTGATTTTAATAACATTCGTACAAAAGTGGCTGAATTGTGACTCACATTTTGGTAAAGAAATCAAATCGTGATAATTCTATCGAAATATATTCGCCTATATTTGAAATTTATTAAAAAACTAGTTGTTGCCCACGGTTGTCACATTGAGTTTTGTGACAGACCGTTTTAAACAAATAGTAACAATATTTTTTATTTACCCAAAACGTCAGGTTTCCAACTTCAAAACTGACGAATTTCAATACAATTTTTGAATCTCTATTTTCCCATTTGGGAGTGAACATTTCCGATTTCCTTTCTAGATGCTTATTTACTCTATACAAAAAACCTACCTGTATGTGTCAAGATTTTAGGTTCAGTAGCTTCGGCTGTACGTTAATATAAAAGCGGGCAAAAGCAGTAATTTATATTTTCACCTCAAAAATACGGTAACTTAAAAAATATGCCAACTGCACTAAGTAATGAATAGTTTCGAGAATCGAATATGTTATCTATAAATAAATTCGCAAAACTAACACAACCGTCACGCGACTGCCCGCGTTCGGGCAGACGCGTCTTACAGTAGACGCGACGCGTAAGTGCTTGCGTCAGGTTAATCGTATCGTGAAAAATTTTTAACGATTCGTCGAAATTACTCAGTGTGGAAGACAAAATTCATCTATATTAAATACTTAAAATGACAATTGTATAAATTTTTATAAGAATTTGACAGATATTCTAAAATGAGCATTGTAAAAATGTATTCAATTCCATTGTTACTATGGCTCAGTATTTTGCATATAGTAGCTACCACATAAGAGGTAAGTAGATATATGCTATCAGGGACTTTTATTTAGAACTATTCAGGATGAACCATCTTACGGTACACTATCTGCATGTACCTACTCCTATGGTACAGGCAGCGCACGCCAAGATAGCTCTTAGGAAGCAAGAGTTTTTCCTACTTACTTAATACTTATCGTTATATTATGACCAAAATTATTCAAAACCTTTGTAAATTGTAGCCTATATGTTATTCTGATGTATAAGCTGTATTTATATAAAGTTTCATCAGAATCCATTCAGTCGTTCAGGCGTGAAAAAGCTACTAACATACATACATCCATCCTCACAAACTTTCACATTTATAACATTTGTTTAAATATGTTTCATATAGTAAGAAGATTGGCGACGGGTGATTTATCTTTAGATCCTTTACTATTGTAGCACAGTCCTTCATTAATTAATAAATAAAGTCTGATTCTGAAGTAACTAATGTTTTTCTCCGCTATAAAATGAATCAGCAAATTTCATAGACAGTGGAAGAAACAATTCAACGTTCTTGATCGCGCAAGGAAACGTTCCCGCCAACCCAGTCAACCGTTCTTTGGTGCATAATATCGGAATAATAGGGTGGGAAGACGCCAGCCGTGTGGAACAGAAGTGGTTCGAATATCTCATGTATGTTCATTTGAACTTCCGGCGAAGACGACAGGTGGGACCTAAGAAGGAGACCTGCCAGTGAATTACAACACTCTACCTAGACGTTGTTGCGGCAAAGATCGCTCGAGTTTCGCGGCCTAGTTGATCTAATAAAGTTTGTGCGAATTTTCTGTGCCGATGATGTCGATGTGATGTGGGTGTTACTCTTTGTGTACCTTACTGTGATATCGGTGACTTCGGGGTATTACAGGAGTAACTATTATGGTAATTTGGGTGATACTATAGTTAATTTAAGTTGGATTTTGAAGTTCTGTTAGTCCATTGAAAAATTCAGTGAAACTTATTTTCGGTTTCAGTTGTGACAAAATATTGGTTCATATTTCAATGTGAAGGAATATTAAGGGTAAACTGTATGTTAGCTGACTGTATTTATTTTATTGAATTTAGATCTGACTGTTCCAATTTGTTCCAGCCGATCAATTTCCTCAGGCCCCTTACCATTTAGTGTCAGATTTTTGGTAAAACGAACGATCCATACTGATTCTCAAGAACTCTTCTTTTGCCATTTTATATCCTAGATACCAATAACCGATATATTCAAGCTAATATTTTTTCGGCGAACGGGCCTTTTCATGCCTCCATAAAAAAGTCACAAAATCAGAAGACAGAACAAAACGGTGGAACGAATATCATTTGAAGTAACAATTTGCTGATTTAGATTTTGTTAACCGTGGTCTGCAGGTTCTTGGCCTTGATGTTTCGTCTGCAACTGCGGCAGACATCATCAAAGACAATGCCGTTTTTGATGATGTCTGTTGTAGTTGAGATGAAACGTTAGGTTCAAAAATCTACAGACCACTGTTGGAAATTCTGAAAATAGCCGATAATATGTTAGATACCGCCCGTGAAAGCTTACTTGATCATTTGACCTATTTTTTGTTTTTCGTTATTGTTTTCATCCAAGTGTGTTTCGTAAAATATGAGCTATATGTATGATTCAAAGCAATGATTCAAGTTTGCAATAATTTTTCGAAGAATGTATGTTTTGCGGTTTCTGATCGGATTTCACGTAAATACAAATCAATTTGGTTTATGTAAAAATTATTTAATTTGCTGATTTATTCACTGAAGAGCGTAATATTTCAAAATATATACTAGTATTGATGGTATGAAAATCAGCACGATTGCGACTACGTGAGTGCAAAAAAATAAAGTTGACTGTTCCACTTTGTTTCAGCAGATCAGCTTCATCTGAGAGTAGAGTTGCCTCTAGTCGAGACAAGACAAAAAATGCCTCCCCTCCCTGGTTTCGACTGAGTCAGAAGAGAATTCCACTCTCATCTTGTCAAAAATAGCGTTTTGCTCGACGGGAAAAGTTATTTTCTTGTGTCGTATTGTCTGCTCTCGACTTCTCTTGGAGAAGAAATAACGTCCCTGGTACT